TCACAAGGCATCCAAATCACACCTCTTAAGATTATTAATCTCTCTGCGTCTCTGAGTTCTCATCCAACTGTGGTCAGCTATGGCAGAGATTTGTTCATCTAGCAGCAGCAGCTCAGTCTCTTTCCCACATGTCTGATGAAGGGGTCCTGTACGGCTCTGAAACTTTGCACTTGTTGCGTTGTGAAGTAATCATTCTGCAATAAAAGCCTTTTTTTGGACCACATTTGGAGAACTTTCGTGTGTGCTGGTGAATATGTGAATTTATCTATGATGTTTCCAGTACGCAGCTGGTAATTGTGGCAGCACCCACTATTGATGAGCCCTGTTTCCAGGAACGTGTGCGATGGGAATATAGACAAGACAGTCACTTTCCCACACACCTGCTTGCTTCAAGGACTATCCGCTCACATGTAGCATTGCACAGTGTATGATGGCAGCAGCAGTCTTCTCCTGGGCAGTACAGCATCAGATAGTTCCTGCAAACTCTTGGCATTCACCATTATTCCACTTCACTGCAACCGTGTGGCGCCCTCTCTCTCATTCCATTTCTGGATTCCTGCCTGCATTCTGCAGGCTGGTAGCAAAATAGAGCTTATATTGCTTATGCAATGGGGTTGATTTACTAAAACTGGAGAAAGCAAAAATCTTGTGCAGCTATGTATGGTAGCCAATCAGCTTCTATCGTCAGCTTGTTCAATTAAGTTTTGATAGAAAAAACCTGGATGCTAATCGGTTTCCATGTAGAGCTGCACCAGATTTTGCACTCTCCAGTTTTAGTAAATCAACCCCAATGTGTTCACAATAAGCACAACAACAAGTAGGTGACAGATATTAATCACATTTTCATGTAAATTATACATAAATTGATTCTGACGGGCTGCAGTGCTGGAAATGGATAATGTGTGTGGCTCTCTCTTGTGGTCTGTCAACTTTTATGGGAAAATTATTTATAACAGAAAAACAAACTCACCTTTGCAAAGTGCAATATGGTGCCCCAGAGTAACCAATAAGAAAAAAGCAAAAACAAACATTCTCCAACTGATTGGTCTAGTAAAAATAAAAAAGTTGTTAGTATGGTTTATTCTTCCTAAATAGCGTTGTTACTATTGTATTGAATTATTAAAGGGAAAATATACTTGTTTTATTTTAACAGCTTTTTTTTTTAGTGTACACACTGGTTATAATAATGTTCTGTTTTTGTTCTTTGTAGTAAATGTGACACAATACTGCTTCAGACCTTCTGTATGCTGCGTATAGTTTTCAGTATCTGTTCCAGCTCTGTTTGTATGGATGCTGCAACACTGCTCTCGTTGTGTATGATTGGTGTAATTCTCAGTATATGTCTGAATGTACACTTCATGTGGCTTTTAGTATCTGTTTTTATTCTAAGCACACTACATAGTTTGCAATGTCTGCTAAACAGATTTCTTACAGTATGTATTCAGAAATCTCCTTAAGGCTAGGTTCACATCTAAGCGGGTGGTGCCGCTGCGGATCTGCACAAAAATACGTGCAGCCGACCAGCCGCACAAAGGAATGCGGACCGACGGGCGGGTGCCATTAATTCTAATGGCGTGCCGCCTGCACTGGAAATCGCAACAGTACTGGGAACCGAGGTTCCTGTGCGGGCTGCATTTTCAGAAGAAGTGAAGGGACTCCTTCCCTGTGTGTCCCGGGGCACAGGAGTCCATTGAATTGAATGGGTACTCTTGCACGTGCAAAACGCGGCCCATACAGCCACAGATATGTGAACCAGGGGTTATAATGTGTGCATTGAGTCATGCCCCTTAAAGTGGAAATTTAGTGTGTAAATGAAGAAATTGCTATCCCATAGAATTTAATTGCAGAGGAGACTATGTATGTATATTCTGCAATAAATGCTTTTTACTTGCCTGGTATCAAGGTTCCTTAGACTGTTCACTAAGCAGTGCATGTGCAGCCCAGTTTGCTATTCTGTCATGTCTTGGGTGCTGCTATGACTTATTTCCCATGTGCATGGGAGGGAGTTGCATCATCCCAGGCCTACTAATCAAGGTGACCAAAGTCACCATACCCTTAAAAAGGTGAAGATGTCAGTGGTGACAATGGAGCTTGCGGACATCTCATCTCACCTTGTTTTTTTTTTTTTTTTACTGTTCTTCTAACAATGACATGCTTATTCAGATATGTGAATGTTCCTACAGTATATTCGTAAATTTCCATTGACACACTATGAGGTCTAATACATATTTTCCTTGCCAAATGGACATCTTGTCTTGGCTGATCACTTTTGGCCAGCAGAAACAGAAGATGTGGCTATGATTTCAGTGGTAAAGGATGAAGCAGACAGAGAACATCACTAAGATAAGGCTGGTAAGAGCTCAGGAAGGCATACCCTGACAGGAAGGATTAGCTGTGTTCTGTGATGAGAGGGATATGACTCATTGGACATATGGGAATAACACAGACATATCTGTACAGCTGATCCAGATGTTCTAATACGTTTCCAGAGTCCTGTAATTAGCTCTATAGCATTGCACTGTAGATGAAAATTATCTTCATAAAGTAGAAAGGAAATGTCATTTTCTACTGCTTAATAGATTTTGTTTTCCCAGTTTGCACCCAAAGCTTTTCTTATTAGACTTGTATTGTGAGATGCTTTTTATCAATATGGCTAAGATAGCCAAATGCCATTTAAAACAAATTTAATGTTGAGTTGTAAAATGCTTTCTTGGAGAACAGTTGCAGTTAAGTGTCTCTTGTGGATGCTTACAAGGATATACACTGAAGCCAGATGCCTCCAGACTGTTCTGTTGGAGTGCTTTTCCTGAAGATAAGCTCAGTAGGCTTCACAGCGATGCCATCTCACTTTCCTTACTATTTCTGGCTACTTCAGTGACTTCACAAAGAAAACAAATTACTCTAGTAAATCAGTAATTGTGGTCTGAGCACAAGTGTCTGTCCAGTAGCGGCAGTAGTAGGCAGATTCACTGTCCATTCCCAATGATATTATACATCACCTTTACACCAAACATTATACAATATGTGTGTCCGAGCCTCAAACAGCGCATAACAGATAGATTTACTAAAACTGGAGAGTGCAAAATCTGGTGCAGCTGTGCATAGAAACCAATCACCTTCCAGGTTGTATTGTCAAAGCTTAATAGAACAAGCTGAAGTTAGAAGCTGATAGGCTACCATGCACAGCTGCACCAGATTTAGCACTCTCCCTTTTTAGTAAATCAACCCATTTGTCTTGTAACGACTGTAATGTGAACATGTAGCTGGTAAAGAAAAATAGTACTTACACACAATGGGCCCATCAGCAGTCTCACCATTTGCAAAGGTTCTAGTTATATCCTAGCTGATGTATTATATTATCAGGTGTCATCCAGTCAATGTCAACTACATAGACAGTCTTTCTCCAGAATACCTTTTTTGGGTCTTCAGTCTTCACAACCATATGCTCATACTTCTCTTGATTGTATGCAACCATCCTATTGCTGGTTTTACTCCTTTTTCAAGCATAATTGTCTTTTCCGAGGAATTGGTTCTTCTCATAATTTGTCCAAAATAAGACACTATCAGTCCAGTCATCTGGGAATCTAGCTTGATTTGTTGAAGGATCCATCCTTTACTGTCCAATTATTCTTGGAATGTTTTACCAACACCAAAGTTCAAAGACATCAATACTTTTCCTATTAAGAGCTTACATGTATACTCTGAAAAAGAACTGATATTAATTTTTACAACATTTACTGGTTAAAAATTCATAGCTAGACAATTTTATATAGTAGGAAACCCAAGGTGGATCTACACTACGTGTTGCAGATATTTCCCAGTCTAGTGTACGAGTCCTATGCTACTTTTCTTAGTGCAAAATATATTTGTTTCCTGTTGTGAAGAATTATTTCAATAACCAAAAGACGTATTGTCAAAATCTAATGTCATTGGCTAACCTCAACATAACCACTGATAAGTACATCATGACAGGTCACGTTCCTCATATATATGCTATGTAGCACTTATGGGATGTATTAGATGTATTTCATTATCCAATTAGAAATGCAATAAGCACTTTCTGCTATTTACTATAATTACCCAAAGACATAATAATGAGGTCTTTGGCTGGAAAGTTTAAAACTGCCTTTCCCCAAGTCCCTGGGCACCAACAGATGGCTCAAGGCATTCATGGTTAACTAATCTAGGTGTATCCAGCTACTGGCTGAAATTAGTTTTTGTTTTGTTGCCCAGGCAATTCAAGGGTGTATGTCGATGTCAATAATCATATTACACCTGCACATCTGACTTTATAATGTATATGATACTTATGGTATTACTCAAAGGCCACAGGTTATAAACATGGCACTGATTTATCACATTTATTACAACCATAGCCTAGTCCAAGAAGGAGCAGTAACACTACTAAAGAATGGAAAATAAAGCAGAGCAATATTTTAAACCATGCATGTTCTTTACCAACCTGGCATAAACTGTAATGAATAAAGGATCAGCTAATATGTATCAAGATGGTCTAATAAGTTCTTTGGTTTAAGAGACCTGGGGGAAAACTGCTACAGGTTTAAAAGCACAGGCACCTAGAGGTTCCTGCACATGTCTGCAGCACCCTTTAAATCCTACAGTGACAGGGGAATACTGGGCTGCTCCAACTAGCAAAGCTCTGATGCTTCCAGGTACTGTTGGAACCTACTGCTGCCTCCACATTCCCATTGACCCATTACTCATTACTATGATGCATCAATGGCCAACAGAAATGTGTTGTGGGGCATGGGCAAGCTTTAACACTATCAGGGAGTGCTGGATCTTTTCCTATCAGAGTGGCCTGACATTTGGTTTTCAATCTTTTGGAAAATGTTGCAGATATGTATAGTTACATCCAAGGGTTGCACTTTTTGTATGCAGCAGTTTTTTTCAAAGACAGATTCTCAATGGATAATGCAATTACCATTTGATGAACTTTGGGTAATAAAGATTGACAAACATTTTGTTTATTTGCACAGTATCAAAGGCCTGTGACCATCCAAGACTCCTGGAGGCTGGTTAACCGTGGCATTGGACACACCACAAGAGTCTCAAAAAGCATCATAACTGTGGAAGACTTTGAAACCATTGATGCTGGATACTACATTTGCAGAGCACAAAACCTCAGAGGACAGACATCACTTGCTACCCGAGTGGACAGATACTAAACCCATTCCATTCCAGACAATATTGCCTTACAGGCAAAGCTTATTGTATTCTCTGCACAAATATGTTACCAGCAAGACCATTTCCATTTCATTCATGGTTTCCCTGTATATAGAACACTACATGTGGAACATACTGGACTGAGAAGACTCAATTCCTTGTCAATCTCTGGGGTGTAATTCTTAGGCCCTTTTGACCATTACGGTAAATAATCATGAACATAGATATTTATCTGTATTCAGTCAAATACATTATGTATATCATTCCATTTAATCATGTTTCATATAAAAATGCTAAATAAATATTATTTTTCATTCTAGAGCCCTCTAGCTTAAAGCCAGATATCAAAAAATACTTATTGAATTAGTTTAAAGTAGAACTGTGGCCAGGCCATGGGCATTAAATATTTAATAAGCTTAAACGTAAACCTTCCCTGGCAATTGTAGCTGCAGACAATATGGAGCAATTCATTTTCACATTTTTCAGTAAAAACTCCTTTTTTCATGTTCTCTCAATAGCTTGTTTTGATCTTCCTCCTCACCTTCAGTCCCCATAATACAAGAAATGCAGGAGCAGTTATCATTGGGGCAGGCAGACAGTCAAACGTTTTGACCCTCTCTCACACTATTAAAATATGTGCTTTTGATTTGTCTGTGTCCTTGTTCTAGAAATTTCTCATCTCTTCCTGTCCTAACAAGTAAGGAGATATTCCCAATAGTGACATAGGTAACAAACCCTGACCTACTCTAACCAAAACTAAATAATACACTGTGGATGGAGTTAATCTCCAAAGTAAACCTGTCCTTAGGGATCTCTATAGACTTTCAGCGCTGACTTTTAAGCCCTGGTTCACACGGTGCAACCTGTCATGCAATTTGTCAGTTCCACATCTCATGAAAAGTCACAACCTATTGTCGACAATGGAACTGTTCAAATGAATTCAACTATGACTTTGCGGTGCCATACCGATTTGAAAAAAAGGTTCCTGCAATTTTTTGTGGTTTCACGTGCAACTTGCATAGACAGTCGCACTTGATATCACACTGACTTGTAGCTTTGAAATTGTGCAACTTCAAGTGAAGTCGCACAATTTCAAAGTCGGATTCAGTGTGAACCAGGGCTATAGATCTGTTTCTTGGCTGTTACGTTGACCCTCTGACCTCTACACTTTCTCATTCACTAACCTGGAATAAGCATGTAACAAGTAAAGTCAATTCAGAAACCATGATGTGTATTAGAAGATGCACTATATTGCCAAAAATATTGGGTTGCCTGCCTTTACATGTACATGAACTTTAATGGCATCTCAGTCTTAGTCTGTAGGGTTCAATATTGAGTTGGCCCACCCTTTGCAGCTATAACAGCTGCAACTCTTCTGGGAAGGCTGTCCACACGGTTTGAGTGTGTCTATGGGAAAGAAGCACATTTGTGAGGTCAGGCACTGATGTCAGACAAGAAGGACTGGCTCACAGTTTCTGCTCTAATTCATCGCAAAGGTGTTCTATTGGGTTGAGGTCAGGTCTCTGCAGGCCAGTCAAGTTCCTCCACCCCAAACTTGCTCATCCATGTCTCTATGAACCTTGCTTTGTGCACTGGTGCACAGTCATGTTGGAACAGGTAGGGGCCATCCCCAAACTGTTCCCACAAAGATGGGAGCAAGAAATTGTCCAAAATGTTTTAGTATACTGACACCCTAAGATTTCCCTTCACTGGAACTAAGGGGCCAAGCCAAACCCCTGAAAAACAACCCCACACCATAATCCCCCTTCCACCAAACGTTACACGTGGCACAATTCAGTCAGGCAAGTACCGTTCTCCTGGCAACCACCAAACCCAGAAAAGTCCACTGGATTGCCAGACAGAGTAGTGCGATTCGTCACTCCAGAGAACGTGTCTCCACTGCTCTAGAATCCAGTGGCAGAGTGCTTTACACCACTTCATCTGATGCTTTGCATTGCACTTGGTGATATATAAGGCTTGGATGCAGCTGCTCAGCCATGGAAATCCATTCCATGAAGCTCTCTACGCACTGCTGTGCTAATCTGAAGGCCACATGAAGTTTGAAGGGCTTTAGATATTGACTCTGCAGACAGTTGGCACTTTCTACGCACTGTGCGCTTCAGCATGCACTGACCCCACTCTATCATTTTATGTGGCCTACCACTTCATGGCTGAGTTGCTGTTGTTCCCAGTTGCTTCCACTTCGTTATAGTACCACTAACAGTTGACCATGGAATATTTAGTAGCAAGAAAATTTCACGGATGGACTTATTGCACAGGTGGCAACCTATCACAGTACCATGCTTGAATTCACTGAGCTCCTGAGAGCGACCCATTCTTTCACAAATGTTTGTAGCAGCAACCTGCATGCCTAGGTGCTTGTTTTGGAGGGGTGTCCCAATACTTTTGGCAATATAGTCTGTGTATACCATAGTAAGTGGTTCACCACAGGCTGCACTGCAAAATTCCAAGATGGAGGTCTAGTTCATTGTACTCCAGCAGCAGGGGTTACCTTTATATTCTGGGTCTCTGAGGGAGCACTTTTACATGATACATGTCAGAGGTGACCCCTGGTGGAAAAGTGCTGGAGTCTGGAGTGCAGTGATTTATTTCCTCTTGAAATATATACTTGTTCAAGCAATGGCTATCACTGTGTTTGTTTACAGTTCTCCTTTAAGATGGCAGAGATATGAAATAATTGTTAGGTGTCTGTATCTTCATGTCTACGGCTGCAGCAGACAACCCTTAAAGTGTAAATGAACCCAAAAACAAAAAAATAATATATATATACAATATACTGTATCTATGGAGGAGCAACATAGCCATACCTGGACAGCAGCAAAGTCAATTAGTGGAGAGGGTGGTGTAAAATGAACCAGTAGATATAAATAGACTTTACATGTGACTAACCATTTTAAAGCCAAACTCCAGCGAACACTTTTTAAGCAGTTAGAGAAAGTGTTTTTTCCTTTTGGGATTTTACATAAATGAATAAAAGGTGAACATTGTAAGCACCCCTATCAACATTAAATGGTTTGCCTTGGCCCTTTAACTGCCACATTTGCTGGACAGCTTGGTCTGTTAAGGGAAGTTAAAAAAAAAAAAATAAATAAATAAAACTACAGACTTAACGGTCTGATCACCAGGTAATAAGCTATGTAATGGGTGAAATCAGAAAAACAAAGACCGCTGTGTTAATACTAGTGACAGACCATATCGTATACTGCATGTCATTTTTTATTTTGGCTATAGTTATACTTCAGCCGAATGACTTTATATTAGTAATATAAAAACCCATTGAGAAAGTTGTGATTTCAAAGTGACACCGGCAAGTGCAATACTTAGGCTGAAAGAAATCTTGCTTTAGTGGGAACGACATGATTTAACATTGTAACTCAACCATGGCATTTATTTTCCAGAAAAAGAAACAGTGTTTTTTCACAATGAACTATTAGATAGCATTCTGATGACACTGCCTCCTATTATATGTACATTAGAATGATACAATCTTTGATATGCATAGATCAATGGCAGGAAGAGCTATCAGTAAAAATCACTCTTTAGGCATTACTTTAGCTGGACATGGTTTAAAAAGATTCTGTACCAGATTTTATCTCCAATCAAGACCATGACTGGATCTGTGGATGGCAACACAGTCTGGGTTCTAGGGTGGACTGATGGCAAACACGTCCTTTGGGTTTTCTCATTTCCCTTCTTTATATGATCCTTCAAGAAGAAAATATTACTTTACACTGTAAATCTGCTATTGCTCTATATGTGACCATGATCAGCCTAGAGCTGTAAAATATCGGTGTACTTAACAGACAATGCAATCAGAAAAACACTGTCACTATCCTACGTGTGACTGTTTTCCAAACATTTCAGAAAGTCCCGGACAAGGCGACCTTTGCAAGTTACTAAACTCAGTCAAATAATCTTTAATTTAACCACCAAGCTATGTGACTTCATCAGAAACTATTTTGCTGCCAACTTTCTTCTAGCAGAATGGCTTCAAATTTAGTTTAATTTAAGCTATTGTCATCTTTTTACAGCTCCTCGATTGTAAAGCTACCACCAGAGTAGCCGAAATACTCTAGGACCTTTGGACATGTTATGTGCTCCCATGGCCACAGATGAGCCTATGCAGCTAATAATTAAGATACACTGCAAATAAAATATGTATTCTACATAAAATAAAACATTAATTTCCTTATATTCAAACTAATTGTAATTATGTCCAAGCAACCCAAATAATCTTAATCCCAACAGTATGACAGCCTTACATTTTGTAGCCATTTCTATTTCAGGCACTCCATGGGAATGAAGGATAAACCTCCCCCTTTCTCTCAAATTCTGGGAATGTAATCACATGATGCATGAAATAATCAGGACCACAGAAGAGGGAAGATTTTTCCTTTCACTCCCAGATGCCTAAAATTATATATATGTACAATATGTGTATCTTTAAACACATCTATATTTTGTATATACAGTGCCTTGGAAAAAAATATTCATACCCCTTGAAATTTTCCACATTTTGTCATGTTACAACCAAAAATGTAAATATATTTTATTGGGATGTTATGTGATAGACTAACACAAAGTGGCACATAATTGTGAAGTGGAAGGAAAATGATCAATGATTTTCAAGATTATTTTACAAATAAATATCGGAAAAGTGTGCCATGCATTTGTATTCAGCCCCCTTTACTCTGATACCCCTAACTAAAATCTAGTGGAACCAATTGCCTTCAGAAGTCACCTAATTAGTAAATAGAGTCCACCTGTGTGTAATTTAATCTCAATACAAATATAGCTGTTCTGTGAAGCCCTCAGAGGTTTGTTAGAGAACATTAGTGAACATACAGCATCATGAAGGCCAAGGAACATACCAGACAGGTCAGGGATACAGTTGTGGAGAAGTTTAAAGCAGGGTTAGGTTAGAAAAGAATATTCCAAGCTTTGAAAATCTCACAGAGCACTGTTCAATCCATCATACAAA